TGTCAAGAGTTCTGAAGGTGGCATAAGTTCAAAAGACTAATCATGACAGTTTCTGCATTGTGCATGAATTTGTTGGTTGTATTGTCCTTTGGGATGATGTGTCAACAGATTTCAGTTATGGTAGTCTAACAAAGCTCCGTCTTTAGACATTTGTTGCTATAGCAGTGGAGTCAAGCATAAATGAACTTTGTCAGATACGAGGAACTGTCTCAGAACTGCCTCCCAGCAGGATGGAGGAGTGGAATAATTAATAGGTCTAATATTCCACTTCATCCTGACAGCTTCTCGAGAACTCATGTGTGACAAGAAAGCGTAAAGACCCGTCTCGCTGTCAAACAGGCTGATAAAGATGAGTCTTTTTATGATTCATGACATGAGATAAGAAGCACAAAAAAGCAAGCCCTGTGTTGGCGAAGTGCATCACTGGCAGTCCAGCTCTGATGTCGATGGCATTATGTCAGATTTGTGAGATGGATATGGACGACTGCACTGTGGTGCAGGCTTTCCTTGTAATTTTGCAGTTGGGCCAAATGCATGTTTTCGACAGGCTTCTAGAGAATAAATCATTTTTTTTCTTGTCGTTTTTTTTTCTTTAAAATCAAAAGTGGCACAGTTATTGCATTGAACGTAGCAATGCATGCTGGGACTGTTCTCCCATGAGCTTTGTGAAAACCAGCAGAGCACGATATGGCTCTCCATGGTCTGTTGGTGTAGAGGCAAGCCGAAACAAATAATACAGCTCCCTATTTGGAAGGCATTATTCCCACAGAAGTGTGAGGCTATTTATGTTGAGTGTGGGCGTGTATAATGAGTGTGGCCATACCAATGTGCCAATTAGTCTCATACATGCATGCCTGCTTTGCCACTTGTTGGGAATTAAGATGTGATTTTGACAGAAATAACTGCAGCTGTGATGTCGATCGTGGGCTTGGATTATGTGAATTTTTTTAAGCCTGATGCCTGCTTTAATGAAAGATGGTTTTCCAATAAATTTTAATATTTGGATTAAAGTGCTTCAGAAAGACTGTGTGAGACAGTCGGACGCTGTTAATTGAAAGCAAGGATAATTATTATTATTAAGAATAACATCTCCCACAGTCTGCCAGATAGGTCCTGATCAATTTTACAATAAATACGCCTTCAAACAAAAATGCATCACATTCATCTTGTGGAGGTTACACTGTGACACTGAATATCACGAAACTGAGTTTTACTTTGAGTCCAAAATGTGAGCAAAACCAATTTCAGCCCAAAGTGACTTAGGGCAGAAATTAGTGTTGTGAATTTAACTGAATGCTGTGCGGAAGAAAAGATGGCGGTAAATATATTTGCCTAATCATTTAGTGACTTTACCACTCACACTACACAATGTGTGTAACACAACTCAAGGCTTTGATGTGAGTTTTATTAGTTTTATCTCTAAAGGACACTTGGGAGATTAAGTTTCACTTAATCTCTCCAAACCTCTGTGCCTGTTGGCAAATGGCAGTTTTCTGCAACACTAGCATTACCCTCATTACATGAAAACGGGATAGAAGTTGGCCTTATCATGTTGTGTTTTCCAGATGGCAATAGCTAACAAGACAACAAACGTGGGAATAATAGGAAGGGAATGGCCTCGAATCAAAGCAACAAATAATACTGCTGTCGACCTCAGTTAGTACTACGAGCACTGCAGGTGAGTTGTTCCTTTGGCATGGACAGGTGCGTTTAAGAGAGAGTCCTGCAGAGAACTGAGCAATTTATTAGACATTTTTAAACCAATCGGTGGGTTGGCTCTTGATTGATCTCTTGTTTATTGCACAGACTCGGGGTATTCTTTCCTTAATTTAATACTGAACTGAGAGGAGAAGCCTGATTTGTAATCTGCAGAGCCACTTTTCCTCACACTGTATGTATATTTTTCAGCCATCCTGGCTCCAATACCATCACACTTGTCAGGACTCTGGTCTATTACTTTCTCCTCCTTTTCTAAAAGACAGCAATTAATCTAATTAGTAATCAATCAGCCTTTAGGCCTCCCGCCTCCTCTGTGCTAATGGAGGATATGACAGGCCTGGACCTTGCATTATTAATACCACCATTCCTGTACCCCTAGACCCCCCCCGAACGCCCACTGCCAGGGGGCCATTGATCACTACCATAACCAAGCGAGCACTGCAGGGAAGTTTTCCAGCGTAGTGGGATTGTAGACGGGAATGTGGTGTGTCGTCGTGTGGTGTGTTGCTGTGAAATCCGTTCAGTGGGATTTAGCATAATTTTGGTAACGGAAAGATTTTGCCAACTTTGCTCACGGGAGACTGACTAGATGCGAAACTTCTAAAAATGAAATATTTGCTTGCTGGTGCATTGAGTCTGTGGAGAAGCTCATGGTGCACATTTGAAGGAGAAGAGGGATTGTATGAGTGGTGTTAATGGGAATGTTGTGCTCTGAAAAGCTCATTTGGTAAATGGGGCTCACCTCAAAACTATTATGGCAGGATACGGGGGCCTCTCTGCGGGACTATTTCTAGAAAATGAGATTAGAAATTATAAAACGCTGCTAATGCCGGGGCACAGTGATCGCAGTGTGGCAATAAAACAATCACGGCAACATTATCCTTCATCTCCCATGTGCTATATGAGCACCCAGTCTAATAGACCCAGCAGCTGAAGTGATGGAGCCTGGTAGCAGCCCCACCAGCTGATCTTATTCACTCTAATCAATACTGGAACCTACTCTGCCTAGACTGGGTGGGAAAACAGCTGCGCAGAACAACAAAACTTCACCCTGTGTCCTCTTTAACTGAATCTGCTGATCCTAATTTATCTAACCTGTGTGCCAGTGGCTGTTAATCATGCTGTCATCTAGACTACAGGTTGTTTTTGAGAATGACAAGTTGAGGCTTGTGTGACATGGATGTTTTTGAGAATATCCCTTTTGTTTGAGATGAAGCCCTACCCTTAAAATCATTAGTCAGTTTAAAGCTGAAATGACAACTTTATTATTATTATTAGTAGTAGTACTGTATAAATGGGGTAAATGTAGGCTTTGTGGTTGGACAAAACAAGTAATTTTAACATAATTTGTATTAGTTTCAGCTTTATTTGAAATAAAGTTGCACAGTAAACAAAAAAATTAAGCAGGTGATGAGTGATTAAAGGTGTTTTGGATAACAAACACCTTATTTTAAACATATTTCTTTCATTTGTCACCCTTCTGCATGCACAGTATGTGTTGGGGGAAAATAATCATTATTATTGTTGCCTAATATTTTTGATGGAGATGATTTTTGACAAGAAAGACAGCTGCAGCCTGTCCGCAACATGACTGATGGGTGGGAGGCTGGAAAGGAGTGGTCAGAGGTTCTTTTTGTTCTTTTTAAAGCTGACATCATTCTTTACTTCACCAGGCCACTTCCCATGACTAAATCAGAGTGTGATTTGGCGTAGTGGCCATAACATTTAAACTAACCAGCCATGTGTTTAGAGTATAACACGGCCTCCTGCCTTTACACCACACAGGTTAAGTCACCACAAACCAGCGTGCCAAAGCTGTCACACCACTCTGCTTAATTTGCGGATGGCTGGGGTTGTTAAGTATTTACAAGCCTTCAGTGGCTTTATGAATCTATGATGGGAGTGAGCGTTGGTGTTGAGCTCACAGCAGCTGCAGTCGGCTGCCTCATTCGGGAGGGATTGGGAAAGCAATGCAGCTCATCTGCTGCGCTGTGTGAGTGAGTCAGTGGACAGGCTTTATCTGTGGCTAAGGATTTGGGGACTCACTCTGCGGTCACAACCTCTTCCCCCCCCCTTTTTTTTTTTTTACTCGAGCGCCATGTGTATGTAGGTTTATATAGATTAAGAAGTCATTTTCTTAGGAGGTAAGCTCAGTTATGGGAATTCGCTGGTTATCTGAGATGACTTTTTGTGTGTGTGTGTGTGTGTGTGTGTGTGCGGAGAGCTGAATTTGGGATAATGGATTTACAAGGAAGTTCATCTGTCATGAATTCTCTTCAGTGCGATTGTGGTTTTGCTATGGGGAGGTTGGGTAAAGAATGACTGTGCAGTTGGAGAGATGAACTAACTACAGAGCAGCACTGGTTTAAACCCCCAGCTGTGTTGCATGAATGAGTCTCTTGAGAACAGAGAGGGGCTTCAAGCGAATGAAGAAAGTTTCAAAGTTCTGACAAGTCTAGATAGATGTGAAAAAGCTCCCAGCAAACATGACAAATAGTAAAGCTCCTAAATATCTGCTACAAAGTATGAAAAAAAACAAACTTATTTGCGTGGTTAATGCTGGGGTAACAAGGTTATGCAGATCAGAAATAAAGTGCGGGTGTGTTAGGTTCAGCTCTATTTTTTTATACCATCGTTGCTCCGTTTTATTATTTTGCAGCTAATATTTGGAGGTGCATCAGTCCTGTTGTTCTACATAGTCTTACCTCCATATTGAATGTTACAAAACCAAGTTTTGGATGAAGTTCCCACACAGTTTACCATAAGCGTGGGCACGTTTAAAACCACAAGGTGCATTTGGTCCACATTTTGTGTATATATGCAGAGAGTGTGGGCAGAGGTTTGTGCATTCGTGCTGAATAATCATGAATTTGTCTTTTTGTTTATACATATTTGATATTGTTTGTTTTATTACACAGTGAATGCACACTCATAAATCATAAAATTGAAAGAGGGAATGAAAATATAGGACTGGGAAAGAGCAATGTGGTCTATAAGCAACATGAAGCTGCTTGCCTATACCAGCACATCTGCTTCCATTTCTGCTTGTGTTGGTTGTGATGTTATGACAGCAGAGGGACTGAGGAGTTTACACTGAGAGGACATAGAGCCCCTCTCTGTGGGATCTCTTTGGGTCAGTGGCCCCGTTTAAGGAACCCCAGAGGTTTTTCGGCAGTGTGTTTGCAGTGCAGCTGTCTTTATTCTGCTTTACATTCTCATTTTTTTTCTCTGTTTGCTTTCAGAGGAAGTTCACTGAAGATTGAACGTTTTTTGAATGGAATTCCTTAATATAATCAGGATAATATCTTAGGATATTTCCAGCATTGTACTTGAGTGAGGGCTCCTGGACACCTGATTTCACTCCTTTGCATTTTGCTGTGTTCAATATTTAAGATTTAATAAGCAATCAAATGGTTCATGAGGTTTACCCAAAAGTACATTGAAAGTGGCAGCTTGATGGCACCATTAGAAACGACCAACTTCCATCTGATTGAATATAAGAATTAGATTTCCATGCTAAATTTTGAATTCAGCAGTGCAGGACAAAACAGAAGTTTGCTTTAGATGGCTTTATGATCTGTAGAGCATGCAGCATCGTCTGCCCTTAGACACATCATTGAGAGAAGCCAAACATGTACCGGAAAAAATGGAGGTAATGGTTGCAGAAACGCAGGCGAGGATGTTTTAAGCATACCACACAAATACATCAAATTAACCATGACCAGGCTTTACACTGCGTTCCTCTGTGCATGCTGTAAACTCTTTCAGAAGCATAATTTCACACAATTTTGTGTATTGCTGATGAATGTGAGAAATGATGACATGTTTGTCTGCCATGAATTTGAGTGCATAAAGTTCATACCCTGTGAGGCTCACATTGGCCATAGTAATAAGAGAAAACCATTTGGCAGTTAAGAGCTTGATTGTATGACACAGTGCAGGTCATGATTTCATTTTGTGTTTTTCCAAAAGCAAAATGACTCGAGGGCTTTCAAGCAAAGCTCTGCCTCACAGAAACAGGTAGACAAATAAACGTGTAAAAATCGTTTGTAACTCGAACACATTGTTTTCCTGGGGTTGGCAGAGGCTTTGTCCCCACGAGCTGTTATTTACGATGATCTGACACTATGAATGCTCATGTTGGACTCTTGATCTCTTTATTCATACCACCTTTCAAAGCTCCACTGTTGTGTGATCCCTCTTTTGGCTGGCTCTGCATATGTGCAGCACAGGACCATTGTAGAGTGTTGCGCGTCAGTCAGAATGAATAGGAGCCCACCGCTCTTGCTTTGCGGTGTGCTGACAGCAGGGAAACAATACATGATAGCTTGGTTAGAAGGTTGAGTTTGTAGGAATTAGGTTGTTGGTGTTGAACCGGATCACTGGCATCACGGTGGCATAAGGGGCCCCGATGTGGACACCCATTTTCTGCCTGTCATTATTGATGACACAAAGACGTATCAAAAAGGGTGAAATGGGACAGAACAGCAGTCAGTGCGGGTGCAAAGGCGTGAAACATGATCAGACCACTCTGTTGAATAGTGGTATTATGGTGCCAAAAATGTGAGCGAGAGAGAGAGAGAGATGGGGGCAGAAAGAGAGTGACTGGCATTGCTTTCATATCTTGTCACCTACTCACTCCACAGTGCTGGCACTGTGAAGCATAGTTTGATGCATAGTTTAGATGTATGAACATTTGTTCATGGCCCACATGGTTTTGCAAGAAAAACAAAAAGGGTCTTTGCATGCCAAACCATAGCAGCCGAAAGCTGCAGGCAAATCCTGCCCTCTGTCTTAATTTGTACAACTTTACAAGCAGGGCACTGAGCTAAATTTTCGAACCTGCATGATATGAATGAAAATCACAGAGGGGTTAACATTTTAGAATTGTTGTCTATTTTTTTTTCCCAGTTTATTCAGATAACAGATTAACATTCTTTTCCACCCCATCACTTCTCTGCATGACCCTAGTTTTAGCACCTGTCTTTTCAGCTACAAATAAGGAAAGCTGTCTCTAAATCAGTAACACACTGAGAATGCAGCTGTCTCTGTTTCCTCCTTTTTATTTCAAAATTAAATTGTGGATTTTTTTTAAATTTTTATTTTTTTAGTTTGTTTTTGCCTTTTCCTAAAAACTCATATGGTTAGGGAGAAAATGTGACATACATGCTGGCCCACGTTTTAGCCCAGGGTGTTGCAATGTGGTTTGTACTGGAGTCACCAGGATGCCCCCCCGTGTATATTCCTTTGTCTTTGCCCTCTGATAAACTTCAGTTGACCTCTCTCACTGCATGTCTCGAGGGCTTGAGTCTTTGTCAGTGCCCTAATTTTCTCCTCCTTACCCTTTTTCCCATCTTCATTCCTGACTTGCGCTCTTGTTCAGTGTTAAATGAAGGCATGGCCACACTTGGATGTGCTGTGACAAATTGGCACACAGGAGGCAGATGGTGATGGGGAGGAGACTGGTTGTCATGCCATTTGCTGTAACGACATGAATTGATCTCCGTGCCACAGAGCAGCCAAACACGCTTCACTTGTGTAATCCTGACTTTGGTTAGCGCATACGTGCATGCACACACACGTATGCCTACACACACACCCCAACAAACTCTGTTCCACATGCCACACTACACCAGCCTTCCGTCCCCATTAGTATCAATGATGTGTGCAGTGGAGGCGCTCGCTAACTGTCATAGGCTCTTTGCTTGGATCCGCTCAGAGAGGCAAAGGGATGCTCAGGGATTTTGACAGAGAGACAGAGCTCAGACTAATGGTAGGCCGGTGAGAGTTGGGGAGCCCTAAAAAAGAGCCTACGATAGGCATAGCTTTGCCGGTGTACTGTACGTGTCAGCCAGCTGTTCTATTTACAGAGCTGCTGTCTTAACAATGTTTGCCCATGAGGCTTTGGTGCAACTCGTCTAAAATCCCCATGGGTGTTTTTTATTGCAACATGACTTCTGGTAAAATTATAGTTTTCCTGACAGGACTGGCATTGCTCATTAGGCCTTCCAAGGGATATTAAATTTGTTCCCCAATTGGGTTTTCTTTGTAGCTGCATTAAAATATACTCATCTTAGCTTAAATTATGTGTGGATACACAAGAGACTATGTGTTACGAATCGGTGTAAAATTAAAAAATGAAGCAAGCTTTACTTTATAATGTTGGCACTCTTGACACTTGAGCAAAAAGGTAAAGGGTCAAGGACAGGTTAACAGTTAAACTACTAAAATTCCTGCTGTAGTATCTTACAAATAGTTGTCAGTTTAACACAAAAACAAGCGGGTGCTTTAGAATGGAGATGGCGTAGATACCATCAGACAGGAAGTCTTATCTTAGTGTAAGACTGATGAAATGCCCAACGAACCAGTGTTTGATTGGGAAACTGCAGAGAACTGAGAGGTTAATGGATTGTGGTCTGTAAAAATCACAACAAGTACTGAATTCACGTACACGCCAAAACACTGTAAAGGCCAGCTCAATGACAGGATTTCCTGAAGCAGCGGTTCAGAAAATCAAATTTACTGATGAACTTTTCTACCCCTACCTGATCGATACAGTCTTCAATACACGGTAGAGGGTAGGAGTACGAGTCTGTACAAAGTCTTGGCATGTTGTCAGACTTTGACAAACATAGCAATGCCCAACTAGAACTGGAACGTCAAGATATTTTCGTCGGACAAGATAAACCCAGTAAAAACATGTGATTGGATTTTAAGTCTTTACATCTATGTTATGTTCACTCAGCTGACTCTTATATGGCTTCAGTAGAGTTACATGACAAAGCTGCTTAGAAGCAGTATGATCAGATAATTCTGATTTGAAACCATTCTCCAAAACTGCGCACAGGCCAGCAAATGTCATCTATAATAGGGAACTTAGAATGGGCAACGGGCTAACATCTGATCTCCAGGGAGAAAAACGCCTCTCTCGCTCTTTCCACACGCTGATCATAAAAGCTCCTAATTCTTCTCTGGGTGGATACCAAACTCTCCCTCGTCGGTTTCTATTCATCCTGGAACAACAAGGCAAACCCTCCTCCCAATCACGCTTAAATTGTGCACAGTATGCGCGCAAGGCAGACTTCACTATGTGGTTAGGCTTACTTGAGCCTTGGCATGTGTCACATGGCTTTATGTAGGCTGTGACATTTCAATCGTCGCCAAAAAGCGTATGTGAGGATGCATTCATGGACACCTGCATGACCTAACTGATCATGAGAAAAGTGGAAAACCACGTCATGGAATTCTAGACCGAACTGACCCTCTATCCCCTAGTTCCCTTGGCGACAGTCTGCCTGATGTGAGTAAACCTTCTGCTGATTTGCAGAAAACATTTTTGAGTATGTATTAATGTCCTTTGGGTGCCTCAATAAAAACACCCCAGTGCTAGTACATTAAAAACCACCATGCAAATATCAGTCAGTTGTAATTAGTCTGATTTAAAGTTCTTAGCCATGATTGCCACTGTTAGAATATAAACATGTGTCTTTCGTAAGGGAAAGCAATCTGCTAGTCACATATGGCTCTAAATTGAGTTAACCGTTAAAAGTACAGGTTTTCCAAATGAAAGGGGATCGTTAATGGATCCGATTTTCTTTTCATTAAAAGCCTGCATTCAGTATGTGGGCGAGAGGATGGGATAATTGCTGGCTTTAGCGCTCCTCACCTGGAACGTGACAGGATAACTTTCCCACGGTTGTTTAATATTCAGTGAACTCGCGAGCCCTAAGCAGGGAATATCGATCAACACATGTAATGTATTCCTTGCATCCCTAACAGGCATCTGTAGAGCAAAGATCTCAAATGGCAGAGTCTCCTTTCATGATTTTCCTCAAGCAGTGAATTATTCTTTTTACAGATCACTATTTAATCTGGTATTCAACAGTGTTTTGATGAGCTTTATAACTACAGAGAGAGCCAAATCGACTTTTCTCTGAAACATACCTCTCAGACTAATATTTGGACTTCAAAGCAACTTTTTGCTGACTTTTATATTTATCAATGGCTAATTAACCTCACATGGGAAAGCAGAAATAATGCAATTTCTCGGGGCTAGCTTAACTAGCCAGCTTAGCAAAAAAAAAAAGAAAAGAAAAGTGCAAACCTCACACAGCATGCAGTGTTTTATGAGATGTCCACACGCTATTAGACACTCAGAGTTGCTGGACAGGAGCCAGTTTGTCAGTTTGTTACAAGAACGCATACAAATGCATTTGTGCATCTGTGCTTAAGCACAGCCGGCAAGCTGTGAGGAGGAAAACAACTCTCTGTTTGTGATAACAGCTCTTTCAATGTCAGAACAAACAGTCTGCTGGCCTCACTCCCCATAACTACTCGTGTTCACATTGGCCATATTCACACTGAAACAAAAAGCTTCCAGAATATAGAGTGCAAAAACAAACCTGCAGCTAAGTTTAAATAAATCATCTCCCTGTAATGGGAAAGAAGTAGAAGCGTAACTGCTTCTACAATGTCAGCAAACATGGCTGCAGCCCTGCCGTACACCACTCAGGCTTAACATCTGTGTCAAGAACAAAATTCAAGTGATGTGGATGTGCGCTTTACTTCACTCCCAGTTCTCACATCTCTAAGTCATGTTATCCTTCTGCTCAGGTTGGAAACATTAAGTGAATTTGGATAATGAAGGTTTTGGATTGCATTGAGGTGAAAGTCAGGAAGCCCTCCAAAGTTTGACTCAAGGCTGTTTATAATTACAATTTAAATGAGCAAAGGGTCAACAGTTTGCTAATATTTTTTGTCTTAAACAACAAGTAAAGGTCATAAAATAGTGGCTCTTATTTTAGAGTTGGTCTAGATTTAAGCATAATTTATGGTAATGCTCTATGCTATTGAATAATGTTTACTTTGAGGGCAAAGCCTAAATTAATTCAATTATAATAAAGTTCATATATTTGCCCATTGAAGTTCTGTCACTTTCACCCTTCAGATAACTCCTGTGCACATTAAAATTGATCTGTTTGGACAGTTGGCTGGAATCCAAAAGAGCTGCTTGAGATGGAATAGGATCTCTGCTTTTTGGCTTTCGGCTATTTGCACTTGTTAGCTTGACACTGTCTCGCCAAGTTGAAATAGTAATTTGTTTTTTTGGTTCTTTTTTTTTTAATTTTTTTTAATTTTTTTTACTTTTTTGTCTTTGTTTGTGCCAAAATCAGTGCTCTAGGAAATCCTTCTTGTAACACATCAATTTTGGGGTCTATGGTTATGTTATTTGTCACATAAGCCCTGTTTTAATTCGGGAAATCCTTGAATATACAGGCTACAGGTTTTAGTTTCTCATTACATTTTTTTGTGTCAGGTTTGTCTGCAACAGGGTATATAGTGTGTGCAAGCAAAACAAGGGTTCGGGTTGGTGATTACGGCCTTTAGAGTTTGAGTAGTCTAGCTACGGTCTTTCTCAAAACACAGAGAATTGTGCTGTGGACAGCAAGTAGATCAGAAAACCACAGAACTGCAATAGATGTAGCATCTCAGACCTGCCTTCAGCCAACAGACTTGAAGGAGAGACTGAAGCAAGCCTCAAAGCCTGTTTTTAATGACAGAATGTGCTCTGTTATTGAGAAGACTGATTAAAAGCCTTTTGTGTCACAGTCTGGGCGGCAGTAGCATATGGCCGGAGGGCTTAAGCATAGAAAAAAGAGATCTGTAGTACCAAATCCCTGGGACAGAAGCAAGGAAGTAAAGTCATGGAGATTAAAGTGAATCTGCCTCATTCCTCTGCTGCAGAAAATCCTCATTTGTGTATAGGCTTTTAGCTGTCGATTGGGGTGCAACACATAGCACTGCACTGCAATCAAAAAATGACTGAACATGTTAAATTGGAATTTAAAGGTATGCTAGATGACTTCAGGTTAGAGTTTAATAATTTCAGAATGCCCTTTGGTGAAGCAGGCATGTTTCTTTCTTGTCATGTATACCTTCGAGCCCTGCAGCCTATGGCCCTCAACTGACCCCTGGTCCAAGTTTAAGCTTTAGGGAATTTTGTATTACAACTCTCAGGTTGGCTAATGGATCCTTTTAGGGAAAGTAAATATGGACCTCTTTTGCAATTTCTTTAAAGACGTTTTTGTTTGCAAACCTCTGCCTGGCCTCCATCCAGTGTCCAAAGTTTGGAAATTCAGTGTATAAAGAAAAACTCTGTTTTCACATCGTAGAGAGTGTTTATAGGTTTGGGTCCATACTGTGAATCTATGTCAAAGACTTATAAACAAACATAAAAAGACAAATGACAACTGTTCTTCCTCATATACACATAAGAGTTCATCAAGAGTGCTTGCATTTGTCTCAGGCTTTTGTTTTATACTTTCAAGTCACTTTCAGGGAATTGTTGCACTGTTTCAGGGAACGGTTGGACTTTGGATTGACTTCGCTCTAATTACATGCAAATCATGAAAATGCATTTATAACACTTGTGTTTGTTAATATGTCACAGCTTAAAAATGTACAAACTTTTAAATCAAAGGAACTGTAAAAGTTATGAAGTTAAAAGCACCAACGATTCAGAAATAATGCAGATATATTCCTCTAGTGATAACCTGCGAACACTTTCACTGTCCCTCTGGAGGTGTGCAGGTTTGCGTTTAAATTAGCTCATGCATATTTTTGAGAAACTTTATAGTTATCTCAGTGAGTTTCTCCTAGACTCGAAATAGTCTACCTGTCTCTTTATTTACCTTTAATTTTTTTTTCATTTTGACTTGCCTGAATGTTTGAATCAGAGTTCAAATTTTTCTCTGCTTTCATCTTCCGAGAGTTTACCCCTCTGAGATCTGAACAGTATCATTGCTGTTCTTCTTTTTGAGGCAAGCAATGATGTCAGTTACTGAAAGAGGATCAGATTTTATAGCTCTCATACTGCTTCATCAGTACCCAGCACATATTCTTCAATTGAAGAACAACATGGCACTCGCTCCGCAGAGGCTCGTACATAATGAAAAATATGCAGCAGTTGAGCATCAAGGTCATTGTCGAATAGGATTTCTCAAGAGGGCTGAAAAGTCATCTACAGAGTGAGCAAATAAGGCCAGGTGGCTGATGAACTCCAGGAATAGTTTGACAAACCCTATCGCCAGTGACAAATTAAAGTGTCAGCGGCCGGCCTGTGTGGCATCACATTACCTGTGTTATTCTGTGATAAGTCTCATTGCCGAGCCAGCAGCACATGGTCGTCTGGAAAACAGCCTGAGACAGCTATGAAGACAGAGGTACAGTAACAGGAGACCTGGGCAGATGCTTGTCGCTGAGTATTGATTGGACCAGACGTCCAGACGACTTTTAACAGCCACTGACGCAGGCTGTCGAGCTAGAGTGGAAGCTACCTCTTCTCAGCTCCCACGTCAAACTGAAAAGAAACTTGAATAAAATGTGCAATTATGTATTGTTACATAGCATCAGCTAATATGCTAATGTTTCCTGGGGACATATAGCCTATTTACACATTCATATTCAAAGGTACTGAGCAGCCATTATGTTAGTTTGCGACACAGGCAGCTTTTACAATACATTTTCATGTAGTACTATTGCACATACTGTATTTTCTAGATAATAGCTAACTGCTATCATTATACCAAAGAAGCTGGAAGAGTTATTATCCTATGGGTACCACTTAAGGTTGTTTGGAAGTAACATTCACGATTACTCATAGGAAAAGTAGTTTATCATACACCGTGGTCTTTAAACACAGTTTAAAGTTTAACGAGTCAGCTGTTGTTACACTTGCTGTTGTAATAAGTTAACACGTAGCCTCAGATTTTGAGATGTTTGTGATTGGACTGATCCTGTGTCTTCATTTATGTTATAGGAGAATTGTGAGTAGGGCTGAGAATGCTCCCAGGGTTGTTAGTGGTGGGATTGCATGGAAAATGTAAGACGGATGCAAATGTTGACATGGTACCTCAAACTACATTGATTTGAATTCTAATGTCTTGTTCTTTATCTCTGAAATGATATGGAGAGTCATCACACCACTTATCCCTATGGACCATGCCAGTGATTTTCTCTTTAGTCTTCATAAAACACCAGAAATGGTGAATGTAGCGTGCCTACTCTAAATCTAGTTCAAAAAAATTAAACGGGGAACATAGAAAATATTTTAAATCGCAAGCTTCTATTTCTGCTGTTTCTTTGCTGACTTGCATTATGAGACTTTGTAAAATTACAAGACATGAAAATAAATTTGTATCACCTTTAAAATAGTATTAAGGTGACACAAAATATATTCACCAAACACCAATTTGTTATTTAAATAGAAACCACAGTGGGAAGTGATAATTAAGAACATGAATTATGACTATTGAGACTTCCAAGTCATACAATCAGCATGCCTGTCTGTTGTGTGAGGACACAGGACCTTTGACTATGGCTATCAAAAGGTGTCATACATCACCTAAAATGCCTCTACGCATACAAGAATTCCTCTCGAAGTACACACTTTCTTTTGCTCTCATATACAGACACCTTCAGCCTCATGTTAGGGCAGCTGCAAGAGTAATGGCCCAAGGTCTCCTCCTGAACACAGACTAATGAGAATCTCAAATACGACAAGCAGAGTGCATTTATCACGCACTCACACTTAATGACACCACCACCCAGGCTCAACTGCATGCTCATGCCAGTATCTAGCTCCCTTATAGATGGCCCCGTTTGTCCCTCTGCTTTTCTATTATTGTAGCTGCCTGGTCAAGCCTAGTGGAAGGATGGAGGGGGCGGGGGCGGGGAGCAGAATCAGACTCTGTGTTTGCAGGTAAAAGAAGACCTTCTTTGTGTGTCTCTCTCTCTTTTAATTTATGTGTTCCTGTCTTTTTTTTGTTCAATACACCACCCTCCCAGTGTGAATTGGTCTATTCTCAACTTCTTTTATTCTCTTTGTGTCTGTTTTTTCTCTTGTCTCTAAAAACTGAAAAATGCAGATGAGTGGAACTCTTCAGCTGAGGAATGGTGAGGGAGTTGACAGATGAATGCTACATGCACTACTTTGATCTACCTCAATGAAGTGGTGTTGTTTTATTTGTGGGGTGACATGGAGCTTTGTACGAGGACTCTTGACTCGAAAAGCTTTAGAGATCTGCCTGTCAAGGTAACACTGATTTTCACACAATTAGACACCAGGCAGCAGATATTAAGAGGCATATTTTCTATGTGTGTTCAGTAATTCAGTTAAGCTCATCATTTTAGGAAAAAAAATCTCATTTAAATAATGATTAATGCTCACTTCAGGAGTTAATCATGTCAAGGTAGTGAAAATGTCATCATAAATACAATGCCCAATGCATTGATCTTTATGTTGGGAAGAATGATGATTGGAACTGTAATTAGTTGACTTCCATGGGAGCCCCATTGCCTCTAATGACTGTTGGGTATTTAGACAGAGATAAGGACTTATCCTCCTTAAGTGCTGGAAGGCTACATTATCTATACTGAGATCCAAGCCAAGCTTTAACACAACTCAGACACATGCAGGAATGCAAGCAGCCAACAGTCCCATTCAGGAGTGCAACAAAGATGGTCTGTAGGAGAGCCGACAATAGTGATGTACTGTATGCCTCCAATGGACCTGAAAATGACTTGGATCACTTGAGGTGCAAGTAGTTCTGATCATTTGTCACCAGGTTTTTTGCAGAAGACTAATCAGCTAAGCAGAAAGGTTGCTTTCTAAATATGATAGATAACCAGTACAAGCCCTATTTGTCTGAGCAATGCCAAGTTATGTGATAACTTCATCTTGTTTTCAGGTTATGTAGCATCTGTGAGTTAGAGGAATCATAAAAAATGTCAGCTTACTCAACATGTATGTATGCAGCCAATCTAGCCATGCAGAAACATTCGTGTATTCTGTCAGAAGTGATGAATCTTTTGGCCTCCACTGTTTTCATTAAAAGAAACACTGGGGGAGTGTCTTAGTCATTAACATGAGTGTTACTTTGTTTTTGTGTATCCATCTGAGACTACCTAAGCTGCAAGGGGACATTAGATGGATGTTATTTTTAAAACTGCTGTAGCTTTTAAGGGTTTAATTGTGGTAAAACCCATTTAACCCAGCAAAGCAGTAAAGATGAGATTCTCTGTTTCTACTAAAAAGAGGTCAAGAATTGCAATCTGTTACTTTGCAGTAGTTCCTCATTTCTTAAATCTTGGAAATTTTCCATCACTTATGTTGTGTTGTTTTGACTCTTGTAGCTCATGCTCAAAGTACTTAATTAATCCCAATGGAAATTTTTAGGGAATCATCCAACAAGGGATTGAGCCCAAAGCTGGTTAGTTGTATATTGCAGTGTCGAGGGTCGTTCTACATTTGTGTCATTTGGCTACTGTAAGTAATCATTAAAGTAATTTAGGCCTGTTAGTAATTTGGTGTTGTAGCAGGACCTGCTAACCTGAAACTGAGTGGTGGAATTGATTGAGTTTCTGATTCCAGATCAGTGATCTGTGCGATACTGCCATCTCCCCCTCTGCCAGCTCCTCCTCCTCCTCATTGAGATTTCTGTCTTTTTACTGTCAGTATTCATGTCCCATTTCCATGTTTGATGTCCCAGCTCCTGCTAACTTCCTCTCTTGTTCCATGTCACACTGGAGCCTTTGATGAGGTGAAAGGAGCCACACTGCTACTTGGTGTATGCTAGCCCGTGGCCATTGACTTGGGCAAGATGGAGTTTTTACAGCTATAAAATGAGATAAACTGAGCCTGAAAGCTTCTGGGTCTTTCAGTATGTGTTAAGATGATATCGTCAGTGTGAGACGGTGGTAATAAAAGTGAGGTCAGCTGCCACCGTGGGCTACTGCCCTGATAGGTAGCACTGTCATGATAAGACTGCTGTCTCTTTTCATCTCTCCCTTTTCTCCTAGTATGGGATGAAGCTGACACATGGATGTTGGGTTTGAGTGGAAAAGGCATCTAATAATTGGATGCATGCTTGCGTACGGAGAATGTTTGTCCCAAAGACAATGATAAAGTATTTAATCTTCCCAGGAACAGTGAGCCACACAGGCATGATGATGCCATTATCTCCGTGCAGCACTCTCGCCAAGAAGCCTCACTCTTAGCCTTGATTTATATTTCCCTTCATCAGCATCGACCAGTCAGATTGCAAAAATCATTCATTTATAAAAGCAGGGCTTGGTGCTTTTGTTCTTCCTTAACCAAAATTCACAAAATGTACTTTTGTCACACATTCCCTTGCTAGCTTTCCCCCCCATTCCTTGTAATCTTGTTGGGATAATGTGACGGCGATGGATCTTCTCGGTGACGGTTGTGTGATTGCCTCCGCTAACAAGGGATAAAGGCAGAGGAAGAATCTTCACAGCTATTTATCTTCCTTTGATCAATTCTCAACTACTCTGCCTTGCTCTGTTTTATCTTTTGACTATAAATATCAGCTTTGGCACAGCTGAAATTGTGACCTCTTCTTTTGTCAAGACTAAGAGAAATGGTCAGGCGCTCCCCTCATTGCATGATAGTGAAATAAAAACATTTCCACACAGGGTGAAAACACCATTGATTGGTTGCGGAAGACAAGTAACAGATACCTTATGCCTCTCAGCTTTCCCGGCGACCCCTCATTTGAGTGACCCGAACTCGAACTTTAGAAAGATCCCCCTCGAAACTCACTTTTTAGGAGGGAACAAAAGTTGTGGTAGATTGATAATTCATGCAGGATGTCTTTCAAAATAGGAAGTGTGAAGAGTTTGAAATGCAAACGGTGCAGCAAACTAATTGGTACCACAGGGAAGATGGAGATCAAAGAACCTCTGTGTTAATAGAGAACTCGCACTCTCTTTTCGTCCGCTGCCGAGTTAATGGACACAAAGCCACTGTGAAGTCCTCTACAGTGGTGGTCCTCGGTTGAAGCATCCTCAGCAACAGCAAGCAAAAAAGAGATTGCCCATCTTCTGACTCATTTTATCAGTGGTGCAGGTTTTAGCACTGATTGAGTCTTGTCAAATCATGAAAATGCAAGTAAAACCTTTGAAGTATTGATTGCCTAGGTCTTTTTCATGTCTTTGCATTTGTTGTGAGAAAGCCATGAGTATGAGGATTTTTATGTACACTTGTACCTCATGGGGGTCTTTTTTTAAATTCAAGCTTCCTTATATAAACCTCACCGCTCTGCTTATTTATCTGATGACAGAGCAGATTTTTCCTACACTGTTGTCTGATTAAAAGCCCACGCCCACTCTACAGTCACTGTTGGCTTTTTATTTTAGCAATAAAGCAGTTGAGTATACAATAGGATCATAAGCAAGATAAGCTTCTAACCCATTATTTGTATTGCTGTTTGCACAACAAAAAGTCTCATTCTTGTTGTGATTTCGGCCAGCTTGGCATACTTCTGCTTATGCATGAGGTTTTGCTTTTGTTTCCTAGGATTACTGTTTTGTTTTTTTTTTTGACTGCCTACTGCAGTGACAGCTGAATCACAGCCTGCCAAGTCACCACTCTAGAAAACTGTATACACAGTCTTCTCAACGTATTGCTTGGTGTAAATGGTGCAACTTAGGATATAAAATAAAAAAGTAGATATAAATAGATGAATAAATGACAAATAAATGTGTAGGCACACCCACATGGCTGCAGGCAAACCTCTTAGCTCTTTGCGCTCCTCTTCCCATGAGTTTGTTTATTCACCTTAGGGGATGTATAAACATCACCAAAGCTTTTAACCACCTGGCTTGCTTTGACTGAGAGCACAGGCAGTGGCGTCTTAGCTTTAGTTCTGGTCTGAATGCCCATCACCTGGCAACAACAAACCTTTTTAATGGCTGACATCATTCTCACCACATTTTATTGAAGCATTTTATTAGCTTATTTTGATCCCGTCTGGATTGTTGGCTGCTTCCCTGGATAACCTGTGCATCTCTTATGCCCTTGCGAGAGGTCAGCAGTTTTGTGCAAATCGTGACAGATGCAGGCACCGTGATGGTGTGTAAAGTGCACTGTGACAGGAGATTATATCTGCTCTTTCCTCCTTTATATCAGCACTTTCATCATTGCTTTAGTACCAGAGCAGACAACAATGTACAGCATCTGAACAGAGGTGTTGTATTTCCATAATGTCCATGCAGTTGAATCAGTTTACAGGGAGAACACTGATTTAACACTTAGGATGGTATCAATTAAAATTGGTTTGTCCTTTATAATGTATTTAAGTCAGCCCCCTCGCCCCTAAAACAAGCAAACAAACAAACGCAAATTAAATAAATTTCCCACAGTGCAATACGGAAATAAATTTACCAACAGTTCAGTGATTCCTTTTTGTAGTTATAATTGGGATCCTCAAACACATAGTCAAGGGAAAGTCCTCTGTTCGATTTGTTTGCCGACTTCACCTGTGAGGTCAGACTGGGGTTCCTGAAATGGAAAGTTAAAATTGGAAACACAAAATAGAGAAAACAACAACAATCGTCCCACTTTTCCCCCTTTGCTCTGCATTTCTCATCAGTGGCCTCTGGGGGTATCCAATTATGACGCCCTTGAGGGAATGACAGTGCTTGGATTTCTGTCAATACAGGGTTCAGGTAGTGTTTCTCAATAACATTGTGAATTATTGATGACGGAGAGATTGAAAGGAGAACGGGGTAGTTAACATTCACTTTTATATATGAAGAGGAGAAAGAGATGAGGGAGCTAGGTTAGCACAGATGCTGCCCAGCATATTTTAAGCTGATCTATTTGATTAGAAGACCCCAAGGTAAGTCTCGATTTAAATGCCATAAGGACTCCGGAAGATTGAAGGTGGATCCTGACTG